TCTTCTCCTTAGGCATACTGAATTTATCATCTGTCTCTGATGTGGAGTCTATTACATTAACATCTCTCTTTTCTGTGCTGTATTTTAGTTATACTATTATTTTATTATATTGTATGCCTCATGTCTACAGTAGTTTCCCTATTGCCCTCCACTTGGCAATCTTTACCTCATTCATCAAGGCTCTACTCACATACTGCATCTTCAGACTTCTATTCCATCATCTCCCCATTTTCCTCTCCCATTCTATTATTAGCCATTTTTCTTTAACACTGAATTATATTCTACTTCTTAAATGTACCATATTTTCATTACACATTTGCAAGTTGATTGGTATCTAGGTTGTTTTCATGTACTGACTATTGTGAATAAAGAAACAACGAACACTGATGAACAGGTATCTCTGAAGTAGAATGTAGAATCCTTTAGGTACATACATGACCAAGAGTAGGATAGCTGAATCTTGCGGTAGATCTATTTTAGCTTTTTAAGGAACCAAAACACTGATTTACATATGGGATGAAACAGTTTGCACCTCACCAGCAGTGAATAAGTGCTCAGCTTTCCCTGTGTCCTCACCAGCATTTGTCACTATTTGATTTTTGTATTTTAGCCATTCTGACTGTGGTAATATGAAATCCCGAAGTGGTTTGAAATTGTAATTCCCTTATTTTGAACATTTTTAGTGTATATTTTTTGAATTTTGTGCATTTCACACAGTATATCTTAATCATATTTAGAACCTCTCCCCAATTGTCATCAATTTGCATTCATTTATTGAGAACTCTCTCTTTAGTTCTTTGCCCCAATTTTTAATTGAGTTGTTTGGGTATTTTGATGTTTAGTATTCTTTTAGTTCTTTGTGTATTCTAGATACTAACCCTCTCTCAGATGAACAACTGGCAGACTTTTTCCCATTCTTTGGGTGGCCACTTCACATGAATGATGGTGTCTTTTGTCATACAGAAACTTTATAGTTTCATGAGATTCAGTTTATTAATTGGTCTTAATGTTTGTGCTATTGGGGTCATGTTCAGAAAGTCATTTCTTGTGCCCACATCTCAACTATTAGTGATAGTTACATATTGCATTATAAGGCGCCAATCATGACAGAAAGTCCTAACTTCTGAAACACCTGCCTCAGGAGCTTTGGCTACACTGTCCAACTCTAAACTGCTCCTTTACTAACTGCAATAGTTCAGTAATTTTCCCAACAGTGAAACCATAGAAGACAGGAATATCTTGGTGCCCAAACATCATGGTTAGAAAAGATCTTTAGCAACATTTCTGATTATAAATGTGATGACCCAAAGGGATTTCTAGAGTGAAATAATAAAGCTGGTAGTTATGATAACAGTTTGAAAAGGGAAATATATTTGTCCTTATTCAAAAGAATTATATCAAATATACACAAACTATAAATGACAGTTTTAAAAGGATATATTTTTTTAAGATAGGGTCTCATGTATCTGAGGCTGGTCTCAAAATCATTATGTTCCTGAGGATGACCTTAAAATCCTGATTCTCCTGCCTGTACCTCCACAGTCCTGGGATTCTAGGCCTGCCTGCACCACCACATCCAGTCTATACAGTGCTGAGAATTAGACGTACAGCTTGATGTTTCTACAATGCTGAGAAGTAGATCCACAGCCTGATGTTGTTTGCTTGTTTGTTTTGTTTTGTTTTGTTTGACTGGGTCTCTCATAGCCCCAGGGAGCCTGGAAATCTCTATGTAGACCAGATGGCCTTGATCTCATAAACATCCCCCTGTCTCTGCCTCCCAAGTGGTGGGATTAAAGGCATGCACCACCATGCCTGGCATTAAACAAAATATTTTAACTTGAAAATTCATAGCTAGCATTTACCACTCATTGTTGCCCAAGAATATTTGTTTAAGGTTGTGTGGATAATAAACCTCCTGTATACTATCAGAAAAGCTAGATTAGACTGGAATGAGAAGAAAATCAATGATTAAAAAAAAAGATCACCTTATTAAGTCCACTTATTAGTTATCATTACATTCATAGAAACTAGAGCAAAATATGTTACATGATACTTATTTGATATTTGCCTAATTCAGTGATGTCGCTATTAAAACAACTGAGGATAATAAACCTCCTGTATACTATCAGAAAAGCTAGATTAGACTGGAATGAGAAGAAAATCAATGATTAAAAAAAAAGATCACCTTATTAAGTCCACTTATTAGTTATCATTACATTCATAGAAACTAGAGCAAAATATGTTACATGATACTTATTTGATATTTGCCTAATTCAGTGATGTCGCTATTAAAACAACTGACAACTGACAAGGTTTTTTTTTCCATAGTTTAGATAGTGTTGAACATTGAGCAGAGTGTAGTTGATCTTAAATACCTAGCTTACTGCTTATTTTTATTTTTCAAAACAGAGAAACACAAACTCATACATTGATTTATATTAAATATATTGTTTTATAAAACTTATGCCTCTCCTACTTTTTTCTAAATAATTTCCCAAAGTGCTTAAGCAGTCCTAAATACGTTTTTCAGATGTCTTTTCTCCTGTAACATTTATAATGATCTTGATGGCTCCTCAACTTCTTAAAGGCATATTTTTGCCCACCATTTAATGACAGTCACGCCAAATGAATCTACATCATCATTTCCAAAGTCCCTCAACTGAAATTCTGAAATATAACCAGGGCACGAGCTGTGAGCTGGCTAGTCAACATACAAGAGAATTTAAGAGCCTTATGCTCCTATACTGACCATATTTGCTTTCAAATCCTCTCTTTAAATGTGAACTATTTTATCTTATTGTTCACTAATCTGGTTTGGACTAAACTTCATCATGAAATTATTTGTTAGAAAATGATTCTCTCTTTCAACTCAGAGTGTGAACTGTGCAGCGGGCAGGTATGGTGGTAAGACTTTTGATACCATGACCATGCCTGATTTTGGCCCCAAACTCTGAAAGAAATGGTTGTTTATAAACAAAGAAATAAAACTACTATGGAGTATTTTATACCCAATCATAAAAGAGAGGTTAGAATTACCTTTGGTAAAGAAAAAAAATAAAATGTCCCTGGATCTCTACTGTATGTGCAGCATTTATAGAGATTTTTAGTGGTTTTTAGCATCAGAAAGCTAGGTCCCATTAGAACAATAAGAAACTTGTTATGGTAAGAAATTTGTGAATTTCTCTCCTGGGCAATAGTTTTGGGAAAGCCCAATCTTACCTTCTGGTTGGATTTCTGTTTTATAGTGGTACACAAATCATGATGCTCTTCCTAGCCAGAATACATGTTGGCTTAGATGGGTACTTTAATGAAACCATACTCAGATAGGTTGACTTTTAAATTTTTGCTCCTTATGTTATAGGAAAATTTATCTAAGATAGAATTCATTAATCAGAAGATTTTTTTCAGCTTAACAGAGACCAGAGACATGCGCTCTATTCTGATATCCTATTTGACAGAAAGCAAAAATGTATTGGTATTGAGGTGGTCCCCACTGTTTTGATATCCACTATTTGATACCAACTAGGTGAGACCACAATTCAACTGAATTTGGATGCAAACTACCAATAATTAATTCAGATATTATAATCACAGCTCTTTTAAAAATGTGTCACCATTTTGGATGTAGCTCTAAGTTTCAAATGTGCACAATCCATGTGAGCCTCTTCATTGGTAACCATAATTTCAGGGTTTCCCACAACAACTTTGAACTACTTTTCTCTTGCTGCTGACAATTACAAGAATTTAAAGAAGGGCGGAAGGGCTTCTTGTGATTTACGGTTAGAAAAAATATATTCCACCATGGTGAGGAAGGCATGATGGCAGGAATGGAAGCCTGTTGGTCGCATAGGATCTACAGCAGGAAACAGAAAATGGTGAATATTGATGCTCCGTTCCTTTTCTCCTTTAAGTTCAGTTCCAGGACACTAGCCCATCGAAGAATGCCACATATAGTTAGGGTGGTTCTTCCTACTTCAGTTGACCTTGTCTGGACAATCACTCATAGACATTCCAAGATGCTAACACAATCTAGATGATCCCTCACAAGCATGCCTTCGAGGCATGTGAGGTTTGTTACCTTGGTGTTTATGGATCCTGTCAAATTGGCAATCAATATTAACCATTACACCTTCCCCCAAACTAGATAATCCACTGACTCACAAAACCCATAAGAGGGTTATGTTTATGATTATGATTTAATTATAAAAGATAAAAATGAAATTCAAGGGGGAAGAACCATATACTATCTGAGAGGATCCAGAATTCAAGATCTCCTGTCCCAGTGAAGTTTGATTATGTCAAAATCTTAGTATAGTGATATGTTCAACAAGAAGAAAGCTCTACTTAACCTCATTGTTGAAGATTGTAACTAAGTCTTATGATGTAAGGATGATTGATAAATAATTCACTGAATAATTCAACTCAACTTCCAGCCTCTCTATTCTCAGAAGGTCTACTTAACATCAACTCTTGAATCTGCTTAGAATAATTGCAGTTGTTTCTCTGAAGAAATTCCACTCA